TTTCAATTTATTGTCAATTTATTGTAGGTTAACCAATTACATTTTTAATTATTCTTGCAAAACAAAATTACCCCCAAAGAAATGATTTTTCCGAAGTCTGATTGCAGCCATTTTTCAAGTGGAAGCCCTCAACTTTCTTGGGCGCTTAGGACCATTTTTCAACCGTAGTTTTTAGCCCTTCTGCTCTCATATGAAAGCTCAAAGATCCAGGGAGTTGATCCTGGCAACGATTTACACAATCTCACCATTTTGGGGGCCAAATAATCTCCTTTTTCAAAAGATACTGTGGGGGCACTTTTAATGCTAATGAGCTGGTCCGAAATTCTCACTTGAATTAGTGGTCTGCACCCAAAATCTCACGAGGCCTACCAGGGATGAACTTATCAACTTGATTACAAGTGAGGGCCAAATTCATGGGGAAATGTGCCTTCCTTAAAACTGGTAGCATTAAATTACAGTCTAGAGGTGAAATGTGTCGTGTAGAGCTTTGAAAAGAAGCGGTGGCTCATATAGGGTAACTCCATCGACGACTGGCACATTTCCAGCAATCATTTTGACTTCCTCCTTTTTTCTTCGCTATAATACTTGATTCGTGGGAAGTTTTCGACTGAAGAATGATTAAATCAAAATGGCCTCTTAATCTATACTGGTATGTGAATTCTTCGACCTTTGTGTACAGCCTTGAATACTCACAAAAATACAGGCACTTGTTTTGGAACATTAAATTTAAATTTTCTCATTTTCAGAATTCTTTTACATCTTAAAAACAGATAACTGTAAGTAGATTATTTCTTCAATTTTGAAACCCTCAACAAAATTCATCATTGACATTTCCTCTTTTATAAGGCCCACCGCAATCGTCACGTTGTTAATGTTTCTGTGCTTTCTCTGAGCGTAGAACAGGGAACCGACTGTCCATTCGGTTATCCGACTCGTATACCCAGCAAGAAATGAGACCAAGGGGTATCCCCCAACATGTCCAATCCCTATACACATTCCAGACTATTGTTACTTAACCCATCCCCCCAAGATGTCTGAAAGGAATTCCCCAGATTCCTGCGAGACAATGACCAACACAAAGCGGGGGGGGGTTCTAGCCGTCTCACACCTTGCTGCATATGCCGACTCGCCACGAAATAATTTGTCTACCTATGTGCGCTGAGGCTGCCATTATCAAATCAACATTGTGCTTTTAGGCACAATGAGATCATTCTTAAGAATTAGGGTATTGCATTCTACGAACTTACCATGAATACACACTGGAATCCCGTGTGCTCTGTCCTAAATCATCTCGTTCGTGATCATTCAACATCGAGTTTCGATAAAAAAAAAAAAAACCAAAGGGAAAGAAAAAGATACAGGCAAGCTTCATCATTGAGATTACCAATTTTCAAAATGACCAACCTTGATTAATCTGTCGTATTTTACGAGCCGTGTCCACCGACGAAGTCAATCCGTGCTGATTCCGGCGGGATTTGGGGGGGAACGGAACAACACCATAAAACGTTAAACAGGTGATTAAACGCGCTTGGCGATGGAAATGAACGAGTGTCAGACCGCTGCTGCAGTCCCTTAACAAAACGCTTTCATCACCACCCAACGATCTTCATCAAGAACCCCCGTCGTAATACACAAAAAATAGCCAATTTGGCAGTGAGGTGGTACGTCTTTAACCAATTTACAAGTGGTAAATACATCCACACTGGCGTATCGGAATCACTTATCCTGATGAATTACTCCTCGGCAGTGTGCCAGGTATTTGCCATGCCACCGTTGGTTTGCCGGCCGGCCGGTCGTGCAATCATCAACGGAGGAATACCGACCCGAGGCTTCGCTCCCGCTCGCCGCGTGTAAGTCACTCGTCGGCGGAGTGCCTGGGTCAGGTTTCGCTTGTGCGTTTATTAGTGCTCTCCCATTGTGCTCTGACAGTGCCAGCAGGATGTTGATCATCCTTTGAACTTTTCTTGCCAAGGATAACCTCGAATCATGGCTTTACTGATTGAAGCTCTTTCCCGCGCGTTTGTCTCTGAGATGGTAATCATCTCGCAGGCTCGTCTTCAAAGTCGTTCTCTTCACTTGCTCTTGCTAGGTCGTATTTTTGTTACAATTTCCTTGCGGTACTGAAGATGATGAGACAACAGCGTTCATGTCATATAAAGCTGCAGAGTGATAGCCTCTCAATCGACACAAAACGATTGCAGACAATGAGGACTCCAGTGTATTATCCTACTTTCAAGTCCTTACTCAAAACAATTATAGTCGGCGTCTCTCTGTATCCGAACGCAGCATGAACAAGTCTGTTAACTGAGCATACTCACTGTTTATACATCACACATCCTCAATCTCTTTACATCCATAAACCAAACGGGCCCTATATCTCAGATGTCCCTTGCAAGCATTATAGATTTTCACTTGCTTGGAGGTTCGATGCAGAAAAGAAGAAAAAAAAATCTCTACCATGGAATGACCAAAACGAAACTGGTTTAATAGGTTGGGGATTGCTTATCCGTCGGGAAGTTGATTGCAGAAGATAATATCCGAAACAATGCTCGTCTTTTTAATTAACTTAATTTTAGAAATAAATAGAAATATATTTTGAAAATGAACTGAAAGCACTTGCCTACTCCAGGAAGCCCGCAAAGTTGGGGGTTTAATGGCATGGATAACGGTCCAAAAATCCAACAGTGCTGGATAATAAACACGGAACAATATCATACCGCGACCCATCCTCAAATGCGTTGACAAGGAGGCCCTTTTCAAGTGTCGTCATCCGTGTCCCATTCGTCCATCGCAACTTCCAAAAGGGGTCTTCAACCTCGGTCGGAGTTTCAACCTTCGATCCACCTTTTTGTTGTCTTATTAAAACTGCACTCGGGAAAAATTTCCTCTTTACGATGGAACTAATCCTCTTTTCAACAGATTAGACCCCTCTGGCCATCTCGGGCTTTGCCGTCGTCCTGTCAGTCAGTACCGGGGTCAGAAGACAAGAGCATTTAGGCCTACACCGCGCAATGATTGTAACAACTAATAAAAGGTCTGCATATATATTACAGAACCAGGTCGAGGATGTTCTTCTTCTCGTTTTCAATGCATGAATTGGAAGTAATTACTAAAAATGGAGGGGCTGATTGCAGAGGAGGGAACCGCCTGACAGCAGTTCATTGCCCGTTTGTATAAAGCCGACCACGCAGTGATTGTGGTGCACCCAAGCGGTAGAGGCCGTACGCTGAGTTATGCAAACCATGGAAGAAGGAGGGAACGGTAGATCGGTTCATCATGCTAACTACGGGGATGTTATCTATTGTTTAATTAAGCTGACAGTGTGGCAACACCCTATGGTTTAACAAGAGGTTGCGCCAAAGACCATCGTAATCGTCATATAAGTGTCATGTCGGCTTTATCTGCATTAATTGCATCGGTTTCCTGTACCACTGGCAGTGATGAATTATCGTCTCACACAACTACAATACGTATATTGTCCCCACGTCGACAATTCATGATTGATGATGCTTTTGTCATGATTGGAGCTTCAGTAGTATTATGAGACATGATGATCAAACTGGCAGATCAAGGATTTTTTTTAGAGGGGGGGTTGTCAGGCTCACGTCCGATTATATTTTCATGTCCGATATTTTAGAACGGGCGGACATATATATTTGCTTCAGATGTACTTCCGCTGGTTGTAAAATAGATCTTTGAAGGATTCAGAGATAAATCAGCTGGCAAATTATCCATCCAAATCCGGTCCCAAATTCTCTGTGGTTTCAAACTATTGCTAATTCTAGTCGACAGACTGATCATGATTTCTGAAACCTTCCCAACCCTAGTCGAGTGGCGCAGGGGGTGTAAGGCTAACGTCCCTTGAGCTTTGTAAAACCACATGTATACAGTCACAGTCCCTTACATATGTATACTTGTGGGGTATTTCCCTTGTTCTCGTGTACAAGACTCCCACACAACACGGAAAAAATTTCAAATCACT